AAACATGGATGCCTCCAGTAAAGCACATTCACATGAAAATTACTTTTAATTAAAAATATTTATCATTTATTGAACAGGATGTAATCATTTCATATTTAAAGAACTTTCAGAAGTTTGAATTCTAAATCTAACCGGACTTTTCCTTAAGTAAGCTGATGTGGAAATGACATGTTTGCTGTTTACATTGTATCTCAGATGTTGTTAGAAAAACACCTTTGTTTTTCCTGTTCATTATCGGCTTCTTCAATTATTCTGCTAAAGCTTTTGGATCATTTTTCAGTTCAGAATTGTTGAGGGGTTTTGAATTCAGATCGGGTCTGTTCAGTAATCTTCCGCTGGATTTCCAAGTGTGATTATTATCCAAAGGTCGGCAGCCGTGACTTTACAGTGGAATGATGGTTAACCTTTACATGATTACATGGATCCTGGTTTGTTGCTATAACAGAGTGTATTTACATCAATATTTAGTGTGTGTTAGAATGTGAATAATCTGTTTAGATTAATTCCAGTACAGGAATGTGCATTTCTGGACGACCCCATTTATTTTTTTGTTCTTTATTAAGAAACCTTCACTTTTTGTTGTTTGGCTGCATTTTCCACTATTCTTTTAAAAAGACAGATTTAATTGCAGTTAAACGGAAATTAACCTCATTTTACTCGGTAAAGAAAATAAATCAAAAGTATTTTCCACTTTAGAAACCAAAGAGAACAATGTGCTTCCTGTTTAATGAGATGTTAATTTAGTACGTTCACCATAATCTCACTTCGGCCTGAATAAAAAGTGTCCCTCTCTTTATTTCCAGCTGTGATTGATGGAGGGTTTTTTTCCACTATTTTTTAACGCTCACTTTGTCCCCCAGCAGCTTTCTACTCTGCTCAGGCCTTTGGGTATCTTTTGTGGATGTGCCGTTATGTTTTGGGTCTTTGTCGTGTTGCAGGATCCAGATCTGCCTCAGCTGCAGCAAAGCGTAACACACAATAATGAACAGTGTTGTGCTAGTTACTGGAAAAAAAGTAACTAATTACTAGGGGTGTAAATCACACCCATCATGGCGATTTGATTCAGTATCAATCTCCTGACCCAATGATTTGAATATTTTCGATACTCAAGAATACACCACGATTTGATTCGATTAATTGGTTAATTTTTCTTTTTTTAACCTTACAGGCTATCAATGAAAGCTGTAATATCGTCATGTATTTTATTTGAGAAACAGCAGCAAATAACAGGAGTAGCACAGCTGCACTCCACCTCGGCCTATGGAAACCTCATTCTCTGAAGAATAATAATGCCTCTGTGTTTATGCGAGTGTGTGTGTGCAAACGGTAAGAGGGTAGTGGCTAAAGGAAGCGAGGTAGGAGGGCAAAATAGGTTTAGCGCCACCTCAGCACCGGAGTCAGAATTACGTCCAGGAGCGAATGGATAAAAATAGACCGGAGGAAAAAAAAACCAACATGAATGGATACTCTTGCGGACGTGTCGATTAGGGTTGTCAAAAGTATCGATACTCAAAAAGGCAAAAAAAAGTTGTATCCGGATACAATACTCATTTTCAAAAGTATCGATACAGTGCCACCACCAGTGGCACCTAAGCAGTCATTCATTTTATGCGCAGATTAGAGGAAAATGCACTTTCAGATCACTGTGTGATTAAATAATTCTGTGCACTTTTTGGTTTCAGAGTTTTTTTCTGTAACAGGTGCAGCTGCTGAGAATTATTTTTGTTTTTTATCTGGTTTGGCTAGTGTCATTGTTATGTGTGCAAAGCATAGCCAAGGAAGGAACACTTCATTTTAATTTTGTAAGTTTTTTTTTCAAGCTTGCTTAATATTGTGCACAGCAAACAACCTCAAAATGTTGTTTATTGTATTTATTTATCTGTTTATTGTATTTTGTTTATTAATGAAAAAATTTCTGTTGAATTTTGGAGTCTTTGTTTTTATCCTTGCGGTATCGAAAATGACATTGAGTATAGAATATTTTACAACTCGAATATTGTATCGAGTTGAAAAGTTTAGTATCGTGACAACCCTATTGTCGATGCATCAGATCGTCGGCTGTTAGATCGATGCGTCGATACAAAACGATTATTATTTACACCCCTACTAATTTCTACAAAAAGTACCTCAGTTACTTTGATTACTTACACCAACAAGTACTTTGTCAATCCAATTTTTTCTTAAAATGCAAATATTCCTGTTTCTATAACGTGATTTGGTGTTTGGTAAATTTCTAGCCTTGGTGCTGGTTTCCTTATCAAACCTCACCCTGGAGTTATTTCAAGAGAGGAAATGTAAAATCTAGATCAGCTAACTGACTCTGTGTCCAGCGACAATAATTTATTTCACAGTAAATATGTTCTTAATGCTAAGAGGATTTTACCAGGCTAAATAATGGTTCAAATGAAAGAGTAGAAAGATTTAAATATCATGTTTTAGGGAGTTAAAACACAAAATCTGAATTCCTGGACTTTGTAGCATGAAATGTAGCGTGAAACCTGTTTCTTATTTCAAAGTTATATATTTTAATATCAGCAATAACAGGAGCCTGCTGCAGATCTTATGGCAACATTGTAGGCCTCATTTGGCCTGTTGTTGTTTGCTCTCTGTAAATGCGCAGTTAGTTTGGTTTATTTTCTTTTTACT